ACCTGCCCTTGCGTCCACAGAGACACTGAGCACCTCATTCGGCATCTCCCCCTCCAGGAGCTGAGGTCTAATTGGGGGGGCAGAGAAGGGCCATCACGGTGCCATGGTGAAGACGCCGGGCTGCCAACCAAGGGTCAGCGGCTTACAGCACTGACTGCTCTGCTGGCGGGAGATGAGCCGGCTCGTCTGCTTCCCTGGAGGCAACAGCTGTGGAAACCTCACGGGGCAGTCCCAGTCCATCCTGTAGGGTCGCTGTGCATCAGAGTGGACTCAAGGACAGCAGGTTTCCTCTGGAACCTTACCTTTGAGGAAACTCTTGATCCCTTTTTCTGGAGGACTCTCTGAGCCATCCTATGTACAACTCGTGTTAGAAGTGAGTTCCTACCGAGCGCTTCGATTCTGTTTCCCTGTCCCCTGAAGCCAGCCCAAAGAAGCCTATCATTACAGCTCCTGGGAATGTGGAGTATTTGTCAGGGTGCAGGGAGGCACTTGGACGCAGAGCTCGAAGGACTCAGATGGGAAATGGGAGAAAGGAGGGAGAAGGTGGAAAAGAACTTGTTTATTAACATGTAACCAGCCCCTAATGTTACCTTATTAACAATAATAGCATCAGCTCCTGTTTGATAGATGATATATGGTCAACGAAATAGAGTTAGGCATGTTGTATTTGTTAAGTGATATTATTAAAATATATACTGTATATTTACCAAACTATATGTATTCTATCTATATTGAGAGAAAGGTGATTTCCATGTATAACCTCCCAGTTATTTATGACACAACCTTTCGCGAAATAAGTGGTAAGATTACAGGGCTTTCTTCTCCCATTAAGAGTTAAAGTCTCAGAAACCCGCAGGGGCAGCTCTACCCTATCCTTCAGGGTGGAAGAATTGACTCTTGATGGCAGGGCGTTAACTGGTCAAGTAAGTATCAAGCATCAGACCACACAGGAAGAGCACCTCGCCAGGCCAGAGGAGCCCTGTGTGGTGCCTCTGCTGGGCCAAGCCTCTGGGCTACCGGTCGATCTCCTGTGCTTTCCTTGGGGAGAGCCAGAGCCAGTTTTGACCTGGGAGACCCCCTCCTACTCCTCTCTGTCTTGCCTCCCTGCCTCCAAACCTCTCTCATCTATCCCCTTGCCAACACAAACCCACTATGACACACCCCACCCTGGCAAACCTGCTTCCACAAAGGCTCCGTCCTCCACAGCGCTCGACTTCTGTTCTCTCATGTTTGAAACCTGTGTCCTCTGGAAAGCCGAGCCCAGCTGCTACTAAGGAGGGGCCCGTGATAAAACTGCATGCTGTCAGCACGTGAAGGGCCGATAGCCCTGCTTCATCTGCTGAGGATCCTGTTTTCCTCTAACCCCACCCACCCACCCCCAGAGCCACTCTCAGAGGACCCCTGTTGGCGTAGCAGTGACAACGTGGGGCCTTTAGCCTCAAGATCAGTAGTTTGAAACCATCTGCCTCTCTGTGGGAGAAAGAAGTTCTACTCCCGGAACGAACTTCCGTCTTAGAAACCCCGGGGATAGTGGCTGTGAGTCGAAATCAGCTCGGTGGCTGTGTGTTTGCTGGTGCAGTGCAGCTCTCATTGCCACAAGTGGCTTTCTCACTGTAGTCACTTAAAAACAGCCAAAAAAGCAGGCGTGCAACATGGTAGATAGAAAACTGCTTCTTTTTGACGGGGACCCTCCTTGGGTCTGTTTCACCTCATCAGACCCCTGGGAGTGCCTGGGGGTGCAACCACTGTGTCTCTCTCCCCCAGCCACCCCCTCACCTCTGGAGTTTCAGTGCCACTTCACCCTGATAGAGCCCAGGGGCCCCCACGAAGCGGTGACGGGGAAGGCATGTGCGGCTGTTGGTGGGAAGTGGTTTCTCGCCCTGTGGCCGAGCTTGTATCGGGTGGTTTGTGACAAGGCGTGATCAAGGAGATTCAGGTCTGTCCCATGAGGGAGGACACTGAACTGCCGGGACCTTGTGTTTGTCTGTCACATGTTGTTTATGGACGCTTTTTTTCTAATCTAATTTTATTATTATTTTAGGCACCAGTTGACAATGGTTCAAAAATCACCAACTACCTTTTAGAATGGGATGAGGTAAGCATCTTTTCACAGTCATCCAAAAATATCATTTCAAGAGTAAATAATGGTATTTATTGCCGCTGAAAGTCCATTTTATATTTGTATAAGGGATACTAGAGAGCATCCAAGGAATGCATGTGGAGAAAACAGTGGGGAGCCAGTGGCTATTGGCTTTGTAAGATGAAGGGAAATTGATGTCGGGTCATGAATTGTGCACTAAAATATATTGATGTACTTGGCTTCTTTGCCAGAAATGCTTCCGAAAGAGAAGAAAGTATCTTACATGTGTTGGGATCCATCAGTGTCTAAGCAGCCATTCCGTTTCTACATTTACATTTTGAAAAATCAGCTTCTTTGTCGCCTGGTCGTTTGCATAGCGTGTTCTGCTGAGATAAACAGTGTGGTGGCTTGGGAAGCAGAAACTGGGCTGTCCTGGCTGTGCCCCGGTGCTGCCCTTCCAAGAGTGGGGCAGTGTGTGTAGGTCTCAGTCTCCCGGCTGTGGCATCGGCCGTTGACCACGCAGCTGCCACCTTAGCCATTTCCACGGCAGAGGGTTGGCTGCTGTCCAGCTGGAGTGGCCTCATGCTCAAGGCCACTTGGCAGGGTGGTGACGCGGGGCATTTCCGCCCCGACCGACAGTGCTCCCGGAGCCGCGGGCAGGAAAGGCTGATGCAGGAGCGTGTCCTGTGGTGTGGGGGGTGTGATTCCTGGGTGTGCCCTGGCTGTGCCCTCTCTGTGCTTAAGCACGGAGCATGAGAATAGGAAATGAAGACTTGGGGGTGGGGAGGCGAAATGTAAGCGAAGTAATCCTGTAGACTTTAAATGTAGGGAGTCTGAGAAGGTTAAGAATGTAGGCAGGGGAACCAATTAATTACCTGTCAGGTGCGGTGAAGGATTTTAGCCCAATGCGAAGTGAAAGTGGGACTCGATCCATGTGGTAAGTTTTGACTGCGCTCTGCCGAAGCCTGTTTTGCCCCCTGGGTGGCATCTGCACAGCTAGACTTGCAAGTGACCCAAGACAACAGTCTCTTGTTGTTGGGAGCCCTGTGTGGATAGAGGGGATCGAAGGGAGAAATCTCAGCCTTGGCTAGCACATTTTATACATTAAGTGACTTTCCTTTCAAGGCGGTCTGATTGGAAAGGGAACCACCTCTTGGGCCCTTGTGGGGAAAAGATCTTTGTCAACAGCCAGGAAAGTGAGAAAGGAACTTGGCTGACCTTTATAAAGCGCCTGGGAACATCTCTCAGAAGGACGAGGAAGAGTGTCGTGGAGTCTGATGTTAAGTGTGTTGGTTTGTTAAACACTGACCTGATGTTGTTCCTAGTATCTTGGGGGTTTATACGAAGATCAGGTTAACCAAACAGTGGGGAGAGGCTTTTTTTAAAAAACAGCTTGTCTGCCTTGGACTAGGCATTCATCCGTCGGACCAGAGAAGTTGAGAATTTGAATGGGAAACTTCCAAGGAAAACCCAGGTGCTGCAGGAAATGATGGTGGTGGTGACTCAGTTGCTGGCCCCCTTTCCTGTTGAATTTGAGATGAAAGTGCCCTCGCCTGGTGCTGGGGGGAGAGGGAGGGTGAGTAGGTGAAGCCAGGTCTGAAGGCCATTTACAGCCAGCGGGGCCCACTGTGGAGCAGAGCTCAGAAAGCATTCAGGGATTTGTGTGGCGCTTCCCCCTGCTGGTTCCCTTCTTCCGGCCTTTTCTTAGACTCGGTCTTCTCTCCCTTTCTCTCAGCCTTCCCTTTCCACTCCATCTTCTCTACCAGCTTAGAACTCCTCCTTGCATTGGCTCACTGAAGCTTTGCTGGGGAGTCTATGGTAATGGACCCCACCCGCCCCAGGAAGGCACTGGGCTGTCTTCGCCAACACAAAATCCTTCTGGCCTCTCTGGCTTTAAGACTCACCTCCAAGAAAAACTGTCTGGCTCCAAAGAGCTCCCTTGCCTTCAGGTACCTCGAGCTTTCTGTCAACCGTAGTGTGATCAGAGGAAAGGTCAAGCGTTAGGAGAAGTGGGTCTCCTTCCAAGTGCGGCGCTGAGCGTTGCCGGAATCTGGACCGAAACACTGGGCGGATGGATTCTACTTCTGAGTTCCTGTTGGGCAATTCTGAGACCGAGACCTCTCTGGTCCATGGTTTGCCCACCTGTGAAATGGTGAATAGGTCAGCTCTGAGAGCTTAAAAAAAAAAATGCTGATGTGTTCCACAAAGAGGAACAGACTGAGCCAGGTGCTTCTCATCTCCCTCCCCCCTGCACACTGTAACCTCCAGGATTTACTAGACCTCTCTCGTCTCTTTAAAAATAAAAATGGGTGTGTGAGAAAACTGCTTCATCAGACTCTCGCTGGCTATAATCTTTCAGAAAGAGTTCACCAGGTCTTTTACCCGAAGCCCCTCTGGGTGCATTCAAACCGCCAGACTCTGGTTAGTAGCAGCTACACACTCAACTGTTGGAAGACCTCCTTAGGCTTCCTGCCAGTGAGGGAACAGCAAGTACCTCACACTCATCCCCACCGACGCTGACTTCTTTCGTAAATGGTGTTTTTGACACCACAGCCTGGCAGGCTGCAGTTTTCTAAATCCGAGGCTCAATCAGGGATCTGGTTTTTGGGGGGAGCTTGCTTGAATCAGTCTTTGTATCCCTCATTTCCATGTCACCAAAGGCCTCGAATTCAGGGACAAAAAAAGAAGTACCCACGGGGGAGCGCCGCAGCCAGGCCTGCAGGAAGGGTGGACCCGGGAGGCTCTGACTGCCCCTCTCCAACCTAGTGCTGGTAACTGGTGGGACCCGGGACACCCGGTTCCGGGGACTGTTCAGACTCTGCTGTGGTGGCGTGCCATGGGGCAAGAGAGTGGGAAGCAGCGTTTTGCTGGCATCGTTCTTGCCCACCTTTCCCAGAGAGAGCCTGCTCTTGACTCTTCCCTTTAGGCCCATCTGCCCCGTGCAGACAGCATAAACTCACCGTTGCCCAGGAAACTGCAGAAGCAAATTCATAGTTCAGGGCAAAAAAGGTGGGTTACACAGAGTTGCATCTCACAGCCTGGGAAGGCCCTCTCGGGGACCACTTGGCGTCCCAGAAGCAGTAGTGCCCCCACAGCGTTCCCCAGCCCTGTCTCTGCTCCGAGGCTCCTTGCATGGCATGTATGCACACCACAGCTAAAGTCTGGGTGCACACCATCTGTGGCAGCACACAGCAGTGGCTGTGGTAGGGGTACTTCATTGTTCCATTTGAGGAAACTGGCAGTAAAATGACCGGTGTAAGTGTTGCAGAGGGTCAGTGAAGGGCAAGCGCAGCACAGGGCACGAAGCTCAGGTTCCCTACCTCTAGAAGAAAGCCCTTGGGAACCGAAGCGCATCACCTGAGAGGCAAGTCAGTGCCCAGCCCTGGTTTCTAGGGGGGATTGGGATGCTGTCCCTGAACTCGCCCCCTTGGGCATTGCCACCTGAGCCAGGAGCCAGCAGCCTGCCCACGTTATCGGAAGCACAAGGGCAGTGGGCCTCCGTGGAGAACAGAAAGCAGGGTCTTGGAGCAGTGCTGCACAGAGTCCGTGCCTCACTTCTCCAAGTTCACGGTTGTTCATGTCACCCCACTGCTGCATGGCATGCGCTTGGATAACACTCACAGTCTGGCACAATGTTTCCCTGCTTGTATGTCACAGTGAGTACGTGCAATGAGGCGACTTCTTAACTTTTGGAAGCAATGCGTGAAAAACTGTGACCGTGAGACGGTAAGGAACAACTGAGGAGGCCTCAGTTCGTGTCTCTGCGCAGTTCCTACCCAGTCATGGCACCCAGAACATGTCGCCTAAGGTCCAAGCCTGTATCAGTCCAGGTGGACTAGAGAAACAAATTCATAGACACTCGTGTGTTAAGAAAGAGCTTTATATACAAGAGCAAGTGAATATTGAGAAAATATCCCAGCCCAGATGAAGTCCCTAGTCTGATATTAGCCCATATGTCCAATACCAATGTATAAATTCCTTTTCAGACTCGCAAAACGTAATCACAGTGAATGCTGGGAGCCCACGGGCCAGTGGGTGTGGAAAGCCTTGTGGATCCAGTGGCAGTGTAAGCATCTCAGCACTGACGTGGGTCTCCACGTGGCTTCCCCAGCTCCAGGGCTCTAGCATAGCTCCATGTGTCTTGTCAGCAGGAATATGAAGTAAAGGAAGTATGTCTGGCCTCCAATGAGTTATTTATATCCAAATGAGGTCATCAAGCTGCAACCTGATTGACAGGCTACGCTCCACCCGTTTGCAAGTTGACAGGAGATTATGTAACTGCCACAGAGCCCCACCTCCTCCCAGGAAACAGTGTATGCTGTCTGGGAGCTATGTGAGGATTGAATGGGATTCACTTGGACAAGAGCCCCCTGCCGGTGGTGCTGCACACTCTTGGATGATTGGGCAGCAGCCTGATCACATGAGACAATAGCCGGTTCCCTATAGCGATTATTCCTTGTAGTACGTGGGAACCCTCCTGAGCAGGTGTTAAGATGTGGGCTAGGGGGAAGAAAAGAAGAAGAAGAAGTGTTGTGTAGAAGTTATAGGACATTCTTCTGTGTGGAAATTAGGGAAAACTGATGCCTATGCTATATATAGATGCTACTTTGCCATGAATGTAGCTTCCGGCATGGCTTTGTAGGGAATACAGGGAAGAAACTGGGAAAAGAGCTTTCTTTTTTTTTTTTTTTATCGTTTTATTAGGGGCTCATACAACTCTTGCCACAATCCGTACATACATCAATTGTGTAAAGCACATTTGTACATTCATTGCCCTCATCA